ATACCAAGGAATGATCTGACGCCTTTGACATTTGTCGGAGGACGGAGATTTTGTATTGCACTTATTTTCTCGGGATCCGGTTTGATACCAGATGGAGTAACTACATGGCCTAGGTATTTTACTTCTTGTTTCAAAAACTCACATTTTGACATCTTTAATTTCAAGCCAGCGTCTCTCAAACGTGAAAAGACTGCATCTATATGTTCTAAATGTTCCTCAAAGGTTTTTGAATAAATCAAAATATCATCCAAATACGCAATAGTAAATTTGTGTTGAATGCCCCACAGTACCTTATTCATAAGCTCTGAGAACAGACTGGGTGCATTGACATACCCAAAACATAACTTTTCAAACTCGTATTGACCCATGAAACAAGTGAATGCCGTTTTGGCCTTTGACTCGGGATCCATGGCTATCTGCCAGTACCCACTGCGGAGATCTAAAGAAGTGAAATATTTCGCACCTTCAAGCGAAGCCAAAATGTCGTCTATGCGCGGAAGAGGGTAACTATTTTTGACAACGATCTTGTTCAAAGCACGCAAATCAACACAAAACCGTTTTTGTCCGTCCTTCTTGTCTACAATCACAATCGGACTAGACCAGGGACTACGACTAGGGGAAATGATGCCAGCCTGCAACATTTTCTGGATATGCTCTTCTACAAGTTTTCTCTGACTGAAAGGCAACCGGTAAGGTCGCTGTTTAATTGGTGGATGATCACCAGTTTCAATTGTTGCTTTCACTAAATCAGTACAACCTAAATCCAAATCACTTTTTGCAAACAAATCTTCATTTTGGGCCAAGAAGTCTTGTATCTTTTTACGTTGACCTTCGGACACATGTGACAAACGCGCTTTTTGACTTTCGGGGACGTCATCTGACGGTTCACTACACTGGTCACCTTCCTCACTAGCTGTAAATATGCATCCTTCCGGGTCTTCTAAAACTTCCGCAATGCCAATGACTGATCGAGAAGGCAAAACGTAATCCCTACCAGTGGCGTTTACTATCACGACTGTAATACGCTTGTTTTTGTCTACGTGACCTACACTTTCAACCAAACACAAACCAGGTTCTTCTCCTAGAACGGGTGCATTGCTCAAAGGTTGAACTATGCAATCTTGATCTAGCAATTGAACACGGTTGACTAACGCAGGAATCTCTATATACGACTGAGCAGGAATTGTAACTTTGTGAGGCACTCGAACCAAAGATGTCGTCGTTTGGCAAGTCAGACGTTGCGGTCGCAGAGGGATGACGTTACCGTTGAGGTTCATCGTCTTTTGTCCAAAATCCAATTGAACACCGAATGCGGAGAGAAAGTCGTTGCCTAGGATACAGTCGTTTTTCAGACCTTCTACGATTTGGAATTTGAACGGTTGATTAAATCCTGCAATTTTGACTTGTAGTACGGCCGTTCCGAAGTTTGTGAGTCTATGACCAGAGATAGAACGAATAGGAACGCAGTTCCTCGTAGAAAAACCCTTGATTTTCCTGCACTGAATTTTATCAAAAGCTTCACGTGAAATAAGGGATATGTCCGCTCCTGAATCTACTAACGAATAGGCTTTTTGGTCGCTCAGAGATACATAGCACATCGGCGTATCAGGTTTGATTCTAATTTGTGCTGCTTGCGGTCCAGGTTTCTTTGTAGAAACTTTCCGTTTCGGACCGTCTTTCTTTGGCGCGTTTCTGGTCGCTATTTTTCGAGACGCGCGTTCGCGTTTCCCTGGGTACTTTGGGGAGGAGGACGGGTTGAGTTGCGTCGGCACGTACGGCGTACATGTCCAGGTGTGCCACAAGCGATACAGATGGGGGATCCATCTTCGGTCCACTGGTAGTTCGGTCTGGGAGTCTGAGGGGCTTGAGGGGGAGTTTGTACGTTGCCATAGTACGACATCAGCGGGGGTGGAACATCAAAGCGGACTTGCGGGGGAGCTGTCGGGGGAACGTTGAAGTAAGTCTGTGGGGGAGTAGTCGGAGGTACGTTGAAACGCACCTGCGGTGGGGCGGTCTGAGCACGTTTTTGCGGTTTCAGTTTTTGGATGTCGCGAGACATTCGCTGCACTTGGGAGGTTAGATTCTGAATAGTGGTCCGAAGTTCAGAGTCTGTAGCGGACTGAATACCGCTGCAGTCCATGGGTTCGACGTCGGACTGAGGAGGGGAGTGATGGCGGCAGACTTGGAAAGTCCTGTCGGCCTGCTGCTCACTTTCAGCGAAAGCGAGGGCGTCGTCGAGGTTAGTGAATCTTTTCCTGATCAAGTTTCGCGCCAAGCTGTCGTCGCTCACGCCTTTTTGGAACACTTCTACTAGGAAGCGTTGCGCCTCAGGTGCAGAGAGATTTTCGAATGCCTCCGATGCCATTGTCCGCAGCTTTTCAGCAAAATTTTGTACCGACTCACCACGGTTCTGTTTTAGACGTCTGCATTTTTCCGAAGCCAGGTACGGATCAGTCATTTCGCTATACCTTTCCTTTAGTTTGCGTCGGAGTTCCGACCACGTGATTTGGGGGTTTTCTTTTAGCATGCGTGAAGCGTACGCACCAGCGGATCCGTTTAAAGTGATGGTCGCCAAAACACACATACGCTCTGAATCGCAGGTAATAGATATCTGATCCATGTCGTTTAACCATTGGGCGAATTTGGCGGAACCCTCCCCGGAGAATGTTCGGATGTGCTGAGTTAGACCCTGAATACGGAGTTCCTGACAAATATTTTGGAGCGCTTTGGTGATGACTGCCTCGGACATTTTGAAAACTCTGGTAAGTATAAATCAATCAGCGAATACAAACAAGTGGTGTTTATGGAGCGTTGACAAATAAACAGTTCAGTTGACACACGAAATGCGGAGATAACAGTCACACAATGCAAAAATTACACAAATGTACACAGGCACAATAACAGTTGAGCAATCGAAAGCGAAAATGTGGGCGAAGACGTTCAGGGAAAAGATAGGAAAGAGTGACAGCTTACTGTTCGTAGACTTGTAGAGCAATTTCTTGCGGAACCAATTTCAATTCTTGAGTTTTTTTTTATTTAGATCCGGGTCACGGCACCATTTGTAACAAATGTAAAAAGTAAATAAACAATTTCTTCTTCTGTGATAGTCTGTTTGGGGACCTCTTGTTCGAGCCGTATAACCAACACGGTTTTTCTTTTCTTGAAGTATGTATTGCAAATTTGACGACAGAATCCAAAAGTAATAAACAGTCGGCCGAGACTTTGAATAACGATACGTCAGGCCGCTACGGCGGTTGGCTTTCGAATGAATCTTTCACAGCTCCTGCTCGGCGTTCGGCGTCGGCCGCTATATTCAAACGTCATACACACACGTCATACATATAGATGTACGTCATATCATAGCACCAATCAGAAGCGGGCTAGGACAGGCGTCGCAGGTGAGGAGTGAGGACCATATAAGGATATTGTAAGTGGGCGAGGGGGCTGGGCAGTAAGTAGGTACAGAGGGAGGTGGAGGACGGGGTAGGAACGAATTTCGTTACAGTTGCATCATCTCTCCGAAACACCCATCGGTACGGGTAATAAGCAATTCATCTAACAATAAGCAGATAATCACATTATTTGTTATCATTGGTAAGCACAGTCATATCATTGGTAAAATAGGGTCTGTTCCAGCGCCTCCAGTAGAAGTTCTTGACTAGAGGCTCTACCAGAAGCTTTACTGGAGGTGCGGGAGCGCAATCTGGAGACTCCTGGACATTGGTGTCAGGGATACCAGATTAATGATGATAATTCACTCTTGAAAAACAGGCAATTTGTTATTAATTCTAGTAGGAAAGATTAAAAAAAAGATGGAATGTTAACGGCCCCATGTCCTTTGTTTACATTCGTAATTGTCACATGTGCGCCATTATTGTAGATCAGAGCCCCCAGTGACCCTCCAGTGAAATATGGACCTCGCAACTGACTGGAGGCTGCTGGAGGTTTCTGGAGCTTTGGTGAGAGCTTTCTGGAGCTTATTGGAGGCACTGGGATGCTGACTGGAGAGTTCTACATAGAGCTCTCTGGAGGTTTCTGGAGGTTTCTGAAGGCGCTGGAACAGGTCCATAATGTCCAATGACTGTTCAAGCTTTACTAAGACCGCTTTTAAAGAAGTCCACGAGCTGAATTTGCATATGCAATAGACGAAAATGAAAATGTTTCAAAAGAATCATTGAGTCTAGTTACGGAGCGAGCGAAGCGAGCGTAGTCTTTCCTTAGATTAACGGAAATTTCTGAGTATGAGCGGCCGGCCGGCCGGCCGGCCGTGGTCACGATTCTGCGACGCTTATATCTCAGCAACCGCTTGACCGATTTACACGCGGTAATTTTTGTAGGGTAGCTTCATTCCTTCTACCAAGTATTGGACTATTCCCGATGCATGTGGGTGACCCCTTATGCACGCGCCACGTGCAAAACGAAGAGGTGTCACTTTTGTAATTGTTGCAATATCTCGGTAACTACTTGGCCGATTGCGCTGAAAGTTGGCATGTAGGTAGGCACCCACTAGGCAATGCATATCCATGTGCCAGAGTTGGGGTGCTGTTGCACGTGCGCACGTGCAGGGGTCGATTCCAGATCTCGAGAACGGCTGGACCAATGGCGCTCAAATTTGGCACATGGTTATTGGTTAGGGACCGGTTAGTAGGGTGCCGTGCACAAGTCAGTTGGGACCCATTTTGCACGTGCGCGCGTGCAGGGTGCTGCTTCCAGATCTCGAGAACGGCTGGGCCGATTGTGCTCAAACTTGGCACATCGCTAGAGACCGGTTAGTAGGGTGCCGTGCACAACTCAGTTGGAGGTACCCCCTCGCAATTTCGCACGTGCAAGGCCCACACTCTCGCTCGCTCCGTTAGTCGCCCCAAAAGGCGTTATACTGGTATTACGCTACTTGTGACATTTTATAAACTGTCAAATTCAGCAACTCCTAAAAAGTTGCCTACTTAAAAGCGATAGCAATCGATCGCGATATCACTTGTGAACACGCTTGTGGACCAGAACATTTATTTGTAGCCGAACATATACCCAATTCAAGCCAGACACAAACAAATCGTCGTACCTGTTTATCCACAAAATGACACGCATCATAGGAACATTGATCAATAAACCACATAATACTTTAAGGAAGCCAGCATTTCTGCCAGCGACGATGGGACGGCCGTCTTACACATGAGATCGACCAGCTTATCCCGCGTAAACCGGGGTGATGATCGGTGGGGGCGGGGGCGGGGGCGGACCCGGGGGCGGGCCGCCGCCGCCGCCACCGCCCGGCATCGGCAGCACCAGAATCTGCGGCGGCGGGGGCCCTCCGCCGCCGTGTGGTGGCGGCGGCGGTCCACCTCCTCCGCCTCCTCCAACGGGCAGAACCACGAGGGGCGGTCCTCCGGGCGGCGGAGGCGGGGGAGGTCCTCCTCCACCACCTCCTCCCGCGGGCAGCACAATGATTGGTGGAGGCGGCGGAGGAGGTTCCGGTGGCGGCGGCTCTGGCGGTCCCGCCACGATGATGATGGGTGGCGGCGGGTGTGGCGGCGGCTCCGGCGGCGGCGGCTCGTGCGGAGCGCCGTGCACGTGCACCTCGACCTTCGGTTCTGGCGGCGGCTCCGGCTCCGGTGGCTTGATGATGATGGGCTGCACCACCGGAGATACGCTGTGGCTTACCAGCCTGGGAGAGATAGAGACTACGTTATAGACAAATATATTATCGCTATCGTCGACCATGCAAGAAGATTGTCGAAATCACTTGGAGGACTAAAAATTCAAAAGCATAATCTGGGCATATCGAATGGATATTTTATTGCCTACCGTAAATATTGGCCAAAAGCAATACGGAAAACGCATCCACCACGGAATAGCTTCTAAAACTAGTTAATTGTTACTTCCAAAAAAAAAAAAACAGGAGGAACAGCACTCTAATTATGACATGGTGAGTCACTCACCCTCCGAATCCACCGAAACCTCCATAGGGAAGAAAGAAACCCTGGGCGACACCGGTCACCCCCAGCAGGATGGTCAGCAGCCCCTGTCCGAAGGAAGGCACACATTCAATTATCGGGATTTACACAAACATGAATAATTAGTCAACAGCAAAGCATTTGTAGCAATACTACATCATAAGAGCTGGTATGTTCCACACAAGCACACGCACCTCACGTTTCACAAAAAAATCGCACTAAATATGGTAACTTGATCCGAAAGTTATACATCATAGAACCAATAATCCGATATATCAATTGAGAGGGTACACAATTAGCTCAAAGTTTGTCGCCTGGTCTGCTAATCACTCACCAGCTGCTTCATCTTGGGTGGCTGGGGAGCCACTGCACCGCCACAATATGCCATCGCCTGGCTTATATAGTGTGAACAAACGAAGAGGAAACGAACAGCGACCGAAAAATGCCCGTAAACAAACTGGTGGTGCGGTGACGTGGGCACTGTTCCGGACATGTTAACTAGCATGTCCGCAGAACTGGAGGTGGACCACTCCTCGCTGCCGGGAACTACAATAGGACGTGGAAGTCAAAAGGTATCGGGCCGGGCCGGCCGGGCGCTACACCGAGCGCTCTCTTCACGGAATTGGCCTGTGAGGGCGAGTTGGAAACATGAATCATGCTGAAATAAAACAGCGTGTTTGGACGTGTAAAACCTATGATATTGTGCGACTGAATCTGCAAGGCATATTTTTCTCTTGTAGCCGGCTTTAAACGCATTGGAATACAGCCACAGGCTTCGAATAATTAAGGTCATGCGAAACGTCTTTAGAACTCGGCGCTAGTCTTCCCTAGTATTACATCGAGGAAGCTGAAAATACATATCACACAGGACCGGTAAAGTTTCATTCAGGATTGGTTGATTTGTTGAGTTTGCCGCTCGAGACCGACGGTCGAGGGCGGCTATGGTAAAATATAGGAACAATCGATCTGTATCCATTAAGACAATATCACCATCCGTATAAAAGCTAAGTAAAGTTAAATGAAAAAATATTGACATACCTACCAAAACACTCATTGCAAGAACAAGGGCATCTTGATGCATAGAGGAGAGTGGGGCAAAACGGCCACCCGTCGTTTTAGCCCTCCACAGCTGGCGTCAGCTCCAACTTATGGTTGCCAATTATACTTCTCTTCGCGGTCGTTGGAATGAGCCAGACCGGGGTTCCGGTCCATCCCCACTGTTCTGTGATACACGGAAACGCATTTCTTGTCAGATTACTATTTACCAACTGTTTTACGATTTTAAAATGCTGTTTCAATCTAAAGCCGTTTGGAATTTAATTTAAGCGATCTCGTTCATGCAATGTATGGTTATCGTAGATGTCTTTTGGGTACTTTTATAATTGTTATGATTCTTGACCCACTAATGATTGAGCTAGAATATCTTTGTCTCGGACGGTATGTTCGGGGTAAAATGGTCGGGACAAAGTGGCCAGCTCCGAATTGGCCCAAAGTTGTTTCCAGCTGGACCACAAACGTTATTGTTATTGAAATGTGCCGTCATGCATTCATCTCGGTCACTTTTTGGTTACATGAGTTACGAAATAATGTAATTAAATGTTTTTCCGTGAATGTTTTTTCTTTGTTTACCTACGTGGGAAGATGACAGATTAAGCATCCATCTTGATCTTCGTTTAAACCTTGTCACCATCAAATAGGTACTCAAGCTGTACATGATGAACTATTCTGTTTCTCATATCGGGACTTAAGTAGTCGCCGGTATAAAAGGGCTTCTAGCTTCAGAAGATATTAGCGAAACAAATAGGACTATTCCGCCCCCTACCCTCCCCTCACTCTCTCCTCTCCCTCTCCACAGCAGCAGGGCGTTAAACTTAATGGCATTTTTAGTGTCAAGAAGAAAGCTAATAAGGATCTAGACACCTTGTGATTAATTTTCATTCAGTACACAATGAGACTTCAACATCCAACGGCCATTTCCGATGTGGCCGCGAAGGCAAACTGCATCCTGCATCCAAACTGCATCCATCCTGCATTAGTATCATCCTGTATCATATCTTATATCATCCTGTAGCAGGTCAGATTGACGAGTGAAGGATCCATTATGAATATTGCAAGGGGAAGGGATATCCTGAGAGATAAAACTTCAGTTGCACTTCCTGCAGTCCTTATGATAAATGGTGTGTGATCTCGCTCGAGGCTTTCTTGAAGTACTAATTGCAGCGCTATAAATGAACCTTCTCAATCTCATATATGCTATCAAGCCTGACAGCATAAATGACATTAAAAAAAAATAATGTAGGACTTGTCAAAACGTATTTGCATCATGCTGTGCTGCCCACATAATGGTACAATTATGTGATATAGTAATACTAGAATTAATATCGGAACAGTATGATTGATACTGATGGTTGATACAGGATGATTATATGACAGAACAGGTTGATGTAGGAATTCCAATACACGGCGCAATCTGAACATTTTGTTAGATTTAGACAAATTTTGCGAAAAGTGGGTGAATATTTAAGGTGTCACATCCCGCGCCCCGCTGGGGGGGGGGGGGGGCAGAATCTGCCCCCTCCCGTTTTTTGCCAATAACTTCTAAACGCGTTACGCCAGCGACGTCAAACTTTCAGTAGGGGAGAGTGGGGTAAGATGCCCAGGGTGGGAAAGACGCCCCACCCCCTCTAGCGGCGAAACAAAGAATCAAACCTGGAAATTAATGTTCTTAGCATAAAGCGGAAGCCTGCCTTGTTAACTGCACAAAAAAATTGCGAAGCTCAGTTGGGCAACGGCTGGCTGGTGATTGCATGTTTTTTATTTGCTGCTTTCAAAAAAATATTTTGGTGTCAAAACATTGTAAATATCAAAGAAGGTAGATAATTTTTGCGTCCCTTGCTATAGTCGTGATACATTAACATGCGTGTACTGTGTCCCAAACAGTTTATTTCAGGGTGTAGTTTTATGGCTAACAAATTGCACTGATTTAATGGTTACTTCGGTACCTTGGGGTAAGATGCCCCCTGTCCTGATGGGGAAAGACGCCCCCCTAAATTCGTAGGCTGTCCTTCAAGCATCCCGTCAAATCATTTATTACATACTTGTGATTAGAGACAAAAGCCGATCTGGGACTATTGAGAGTCCAGTACGGTCGGGTGCTCCCCATGCCGGTCTCTCGGCCCATACGACTTTTTGGGCGGCATCTGACTCTGAGAGCCCTCACGACGGCCACTGTGGGCCCCTCACGACATCCTTTGAGGGCTCCCACGTTGGCTCCACGGGCCGCGCTGGCATCTGGGGTCCACACGATGGGCTCGAGGGCCCTCAAGCATCATGAAGACCTACAAGGGCCCCACAGTGGTCTCTGAATGCCACCACGGAGGCTTGTTTGGCCGCGCTGGACTATGATGGCCCTAACGATGACCTCTGAAGCCCCTTACGACTACTTTTGAGGGCCCTTACGATGACGTTTGGTGTCTACTGCAGGCTCGAAGGGACTGCTGATTCGTTCAGGCGATTCACGTGCCCATTTATGTCACTTATAGTGCAGGGGGCATCTTACCCAACGCCAGGGGGCGTCTTTCCCACCCTGTGAGGTAAGATGCCCCCTTTCACTTCTTCAGGGAAATACTTAATAGCAAAAAAAGTTATCATATTTCAGGCACGAAGGTGTGATATTTTTGGAGAAAAATGATGTCGGCTTCCGTTGAAACTCCAAGTTTTTGCTTTCCGATCGTCATTTTCGAATAAAATCTGACATAGTAAAACCCTGGGCATCTTTCCCCACTCTCCCCTACCTTATCATACATCAATTTAACGTGTCCTGAAAATTTGAACGAAATCCGTCGGAACTTTTTTGAGAAAATGACGTTTAAGTGACGTCATATTCGCCATTTTCGCCTCAAAAACGGCAAAATCTCAAACGCCGCTAACATCCTCATTTTAAAAGGAATCAAGACGTAACAAAAAAAGGTTATACGAGATTCTACGTCTATCAAATGGTTATCTCGGTTTTTTTGAAAATTTTGGATTTGGGCCCAAATGTTTTTTCTTCAAAAACTGAATTTTGGGGGAAAATAATTATAAAATCCAAAATTTTGAGTGCATAAAAAACGGAATATATGTCAGAAGTGGTCTATGTGCACCTATATACCAATTTTTTAAAAGAATCGGTTCAAAAATGTGGAATTTTTTATTTTATGACATTATGACACACATTTTTTTTTGAAAAATGATTTTTTGGAAGTTCTAGACCTCGTACGGAAACAAAAATAGCACCATTCGATTCGCCGTGAAAAACTGCATCAGATAGACACCTGTTTAGGTCTTAACAACCAGCTTCAAAATTTGACCTCACTTGACCTGACCTTGACCTGACCTCGACCTAAAATTTATCCAGATGTGGTCCATATCACTTATTGAGTGTGCCTATTGAATTTTATGAATAAAATGACCCATAAAACATGTCTCGCACATGCCCTTTTCTATATTTCGTTTTTGGTGACCTGACCTGACCTTGACCTTGACCTTTGCATGATATTGTATGCAACGAATATTGTCTTGGTAGCCTAAGAACACGTTTTGGGCAATCAGTCACAGTCCATTCTTCGGCAAAGTTGCCGAAGTAGTTCTACGGTGCAAGGGATACTGTAGAAACTTGCATTTTGTACCTTTGACCTGACCTTGACCTGACCTCTGACCTACTTAAGCAAAAAATTGGCTCTTAAGATCCGCTTTAATGAGAGCTTTCGATTGCCATTTTCCCCGTCTTTCAACGATCATCGGTTCGGAAGCCCCCCCCCCCCCCCCCCCAGCAGGGCGCGTATGGCTGAATAGCCCAGCGGGGCGCGGGATATACGTCAAAACGATAGTCATATAAAGAGCATTCATTGTTTCGTTTCTTGATGGTTCAAAAAAGCTAGGCATTTTTCTCACTTGTATTCAAAACATATGTAACAAATGGTTTAACCACGGTTTCAACTCAACAAACGATTTCAAACGGCATGAGCAAGAAACGCGACCTAAAGAGGGTGCAATAACAGTTCACACGGTGCATGGCATTGACTTTTTCAAACGCATGACTTGGCGATCCACGTATGCGATGGCACTAAGAACATAAATGACTGAAAACATCGCACGCAGCGTAGTAACCACGAGACCACTGGGCGAAGCCAAACGACCACATTCCTTAGCCGTACGCGATAACGGGCGGGGGCGGGGGCGGGGGCGGACCACCGCCGCCGCCCGGCATCGGCAGCACCAGAATCTGCGGCGGCGGGGGCCCTCCACCGCCGTGAGGTGGCGGCGGCGGTCCGCCTCCTCCGCCGCCTCCGACCGGCAGAACCACAATGGGAGGTCCACCAGGCGGTGGCGGTGGTGGCGGCGGGGGTCCTCCACCTCCTCCTCCAATGGGCAGTACGATGATGGGCGGCGGCGGAGGAGGCGGCTCCGGGGGCGGAGGACCGCCGCCTCCGCTCGCCACGATGATAATGGGCGGCGGCGGGTGTGGCGGCGGCTCCGGCGGCGGCGGCTCGTGCGGAGCGCCGTGCACGTGCACCTCGACCTTCGGTTCTGGCGGCGGCTCCGGCTCCGGTGGCTTGATGATGATGGGCTGCACCACGGGGCTATGGCTTACGAGGCTGCAACATTGGCAGAAGCAAGTCAATATCAGATGACGTGACGAGGAACACGTTCATTACGTAGCGCAAGATAACGTACAGAATAAACAAGCAGTTTATAGTTAAAAACCAGCACCTGCAACCACGAAAAAACTCAATCACATGCTTCCCTTTGGAATTTAGACAGAAACAAACAAATATAAAAATTCCTGCAAGCCTTCATGAAATTATCATCATTTTTAATATGTTTGATAATATGTCCACCGTATCACAAGCTACAGGTGCATTCAGACCGCTGTAGATGCTGCATTCAGATATTAGGCGAATATCACAAATGCTGCAATCAGACCGCTCGAGGGCAATCAACTTACCCTCCATATCCAAATCCTCCGAATCCTCCAAAGAACGGAAAGAATGCCCAGGCTGACGGGGTCAGTCCCAGGATGATGGAAATCAGCACCTGCAACAGGAACACAGAATGTGTTGACATCCGTCGTCGATACTACATAGACTTCAGGCAACCAAGTAACCATATTTGCATGATGGAATTGCCGATCGGTAGCTGACCTTAATGCATGCACAACAATGTCGCATGACTAATTACCAGTAAAACGCCTCATTTGGGCGAAGAACAAACGAGCTAGATAGTGAGCCCTACACGTGCGGAAGGGCGAGAGGATAATTCCAACGGGCTTGTACACTTCTAACCGGTCGCTAGCGGTGTGCCAAATTTGAATGCAATCGGCCCAGACATTCCTGAGATCTGGAAGCGGCATTCTGCACGTGCGCACGTGCAAATGGGGTCCAAACTGACTTTTGCACGGCACCCTACTAACCGGTCCCCAACCGTGTACCAAATTTGGGCGCAATCGGCCCAGCCGTTCTCGAGATCTGGAAGCGCCCCCAGCACGTGCGCACGTGCAGTAGCACCCTAACCGCAACATATGGGAATGCATTGCCTGGTGGGTGCCTACCTGTATGCCAAGTTTCAGCGAAATCACCCCAGTAATAAACGAGTTATTGAAATGGGAACAAATTTGGCACCTCTTCTTTTTGCATTTTGCACATGCAGTGGGCGTCACTCACATACATAGATCAAGAGTATCCGACCTTTGGTAGAAGGGATGCAGCTATCCTACAAAAATTACCGCAAGACAATCGCCCAAGCGGCTGCTGAGATATGAGCCTCTGAAAATCACTACTTTTGCAGAACAACTTGAACACCCTTGACTTTTCACGTGGCACGTGCCACGACGGTCACTGAGATGTATCAAAAGTAGTCAATTACGGGGAAGAACTGCAGGGATGCGGAGCCGGAGGCGGAGCCGGAGCCGGAGCCGCCGGAGCCGGCATATTTTGCCCGGAGCCGGAGCCGGAGCCGGAGCCGTGAAACAATATAACCCGGAGCCGGAGCCGGAGCCGGAGCCGTCAAAAAAGGGGGCGACTCCGGCTCCTTTTCTTACGAGGAAACAATTACTTACCTAGTTCGGTTTGACAGTACAAGGCGTAAAACAATGTGGTATTCAAAATAGCCTTGTTATACAAATACAGAAGCAACGTGTACCTACCAATCCCATCGCCTTTTTTCTTCCACCCGTATTTAATTGATCGCATAGTGGATGTACTGAGTAGAAGCCGGAGCCGGAGCCGCCGGAGCCGGAGCCGCCGGAGCCGGATCATTTTACTCGGAGCCGGAGCCGGAGCCGGAGCCGCCATGACATTTCACCCGGAGCCGGAGCCGGAGCCGGAGCCGATTTTTTTCTCCGGAGCCGGAGCCGGAGCCGGAGCCGTCTGAAATTTCCACGGCTCCGCATCCCTGGGAAGAAGGGATGCGGCTACCCAGCAAAAAAGACCGCAGGCCAATCGGTCCAGCGGCGGTTGCTGAGATATAAGCCTCTCAAAAGCGCTACAGGCCGGGCCGGGCCGGGCCGGGCCGCTCATTACGAGCGAGCGAGCGCAGCGAGCGAAGCGTTTTCAATATAAGGGAAAAATCTCAGTATGAGCGGCCCGGCCCGGCCTGTAACGCTTTTGAGAGGCTTATATCTCAGCAACCGCTGGACTGATTGGCCTGCGGTCTTTTTGCTGGGTAGCCCCATCCCTTCTACCCCGTAATTGACTACTTTTGATACATCCCAGTAACTGTCGTGGCACGGACCACGCGTGAAAATTCAAGGGTGTTCAAGCTGTTTTGCAAAAGTAGTGATTTTGAGAGGCTCATATAGCAGCCGCTTGGGCGATTGTCATGCGGTAATTTTTGTAGGGTAGCTGCATCCCTTCTACCAAAGGTCGGATACTCTTGATCTATGTGAGTGACCCCCACTGCACGTGCAAAATGCAAAAAGAGGAGTTGCTAAATTTGTTCCCATTTCAATAACTCGGTAATTACTGGGGCGATTTCGCTGAAACTTGGCATACAGGTAGGCACCCACCAGGCAAATGCATTCCCATGTGTTGCGGTTGGGGTGCTACTGCAGGTGCGCACGTGCAGGGGGCGCTTCCAGATCTCGAGAACGGTTAGGCCGATTGCGCTCAAATTTGGTACACGGTTGGGTACCGGTTAGTAGGGTGCCGTGCGAAAGTCAGTTTGGACCCCGTTTGCACGTGCGCACGTGCAGAATGCCGTTTCCAGATCTCAGGAACGGCTGGGCCGATTGCGTTCAAATTTGGCACACTGCTAGCGACCAGTTAAAAGGGTGCTTTGCACAAGCCCGTTGGAAGTACCCTCTCGCCCTTCCGCACGTGCAGGGCTCACTATCTCGCTTGCTCGTTCTTCGCCCAAAAGGCGCTTTACTGGTACTGATATTTTTCCGTTATATTGAAAAGACTTCGCTTCGCTCGCTGCGCTCGCTCGCTCGTAATAAATTGTCAATTTTCATTTTTATCAGATTTTGGCATTTACTTTCCACCACCAAGCTACGTGGCCAAAATTATATCTTAATTTATTCATAAAAATATTATTCGTACCAGTAAAAACACCAGCAGAACATTGAAAATTCTACAAGGTTCATAAAATCATATTGAAAAATTCCTTTTTATGCTACCATTAACGCGATATTATTACGGCCCAAAAATATGTTTTTGCCATCGTTTTTTCAATGAGCGTTAAGTAAATTTGGTCAAATCGGGTGGATGTTTGATTGGTTTATGGTGAAACTGTTACAAAATTTGATTTAAATCAGGAAGCTTTTAGGCGCGCTGTGTAATACTTGGCAGTAAATTTAAATACCTACAAATATGCTTGACTATGAACTCGTTATTTGATGCCGAATACCCAAAGCCAGGAATGCAGTATAAATTGTATGCACTGCTCAATCAAAGAGGCATCCAAAGTCCTAACCTCTCATTTACTAGTTTTCTAGGTAGCTTTTTTTCCAACGGAATATTTCAGAACAAAAAAAAAACAGAAAATGAAAACATGGAACAAGGTCCATAGGATGATTTACTTATGATTTGTCACATTTCGTCGGCCATTGTTTTAACCGACAAAGGCAAAACGACGAGTAGAAAAATATTAGAACAAAAGCTTTTCCCTTCTTACTTCTTGAGTAACTTTACAAAAGGTAAGCTCACATAAAAAATGACAAATTCGGATAAACTGGTGCGTTGACATTCGCAGCCAATTCTTATAACGAAAGAAAAAGAGACAAAAACAGTCTTATAGCGCGGACGCTAGAGGTTGTAGGTGGCAACATGGTAAATGGTAGCACTAAACCGCACAAACATAAACTTTCTGTTCGCTTTATCAAATGACAGCAATGAAATTACTCGCCCTGAAATAATAACGTGGCTGACCATAACGAACAAGAATTATGGTTAAACAATCCGATTCAGAGTAGCATCTTCATTCAGAGTAGCATCTTCAGATTTTGTTTGCACACAGTCCTTCATAGGAAAGGCAGAATTTAACTTTTCCTAGTTGCTGTTATTCAATGCTTGTGACTTGTGAGTGTGACCCTATTATTATGTAATGTCATGAATAAATGGTTTATGCAATAACGTCATGCCAACAAGATTCTACCAATGCTGAAACTGCACCAAAAAATAGTACTTATACGACCAGTTCGCGAGCGTACTCACCAGCTGTTCCATCGCGGATGCCTGATTGCTCACTGCACCACCTCTCTGCCGCCTCTCTACGCTTATATAGCACCCAGATCACGCCCGGGCAAATGGGGCACCAATGGGCTGTAAATATAAACACTCGCCTAATGGGTGGTTTGACCAGGTGAACGGTATGGCACAGGACAGCCAATGGGTGAGCTCGGAGCCGCCACTCGGACAGCACGCGGCCATCTGAGAACATGATAACTGCCGAGCCGCGCGGGCACATCGACATGCAGCAGGAAGTTTCGGAAGGCAGTACCTAGTAAGGAAGAAGGCATCGTATGCGAATTGACACCTCAAAATCATTTCAGGTGGCATGTTCAAAGCTTGCATAAATGGCCATCGGAGCCCTTAGATCTAATCGAACGAGTGAGGCGCAAGTGGTTTAAAAAGATAACCTTTGCGAAGGCAGAAAACGCAACCATGTGCTCGGGTCCCCTTACAAAGCCTAAAGGCACGCTTTTCGTCGCTCGCAGTCTCATCGTCACATCGCTGACAAAATCTACCTACATCGTCTGGTTATTACCCAATCAACCTTCCCTAGCACATGATCTCATGTGATATAGTCGGCATTCGTTATCAGCTTCCAACAAGTTTATATCTTCGAAAACCGATCCTTATGGTATTGTTAACATGAATTGCTGCACTCCCATTGCATTACATGAAATTAACCCTCGCCCGCACATGGGGGGGTGGTTGCCACCCCCCCCCCCCCCCAGGCAGTCTTTCTGCTCTGCACTCAACATTTTTAGAGCTAGAAGGCTGATTTTTCGTATAGCTGCTCGTCTATCCTTTCTTGATATCCACTGAAAATTTCAAGTTTCTGTGATTTTTGGTTTCGGAGATATGACCTTGTTTTTCAGGTCATGTCATGACCCAAATGGCCAATTCTCAACATCTTGCGTTTGCCATGGGCCTTGTGAGCTTTTGACACCCTGATTTCGGCCTTTTTTGCCAGTCTTACCTCCCACCTATCATGGAACATGTTGTTCGACGATGTACAGGGTCAAGGTCAGGGTCAAGGTCAACCTAGGTCATCTAAGATAATTGCGTTTTAGGCAAGCTAAATTTACTTTTTGTGAAGTTTTTTGACTGCATTTTTGGTAAAAGCTTCTCAGATCATGATTTCATGTGATATGAACCCAAAAACAATCGGTGCACACATCAGTATACACACAGACACGCACAGACATACAAACACATATAATTGACCTTGACCTAACTTGACCTGAAATGACCTCAGCAGCAAAATTCTGGTCGGATAGTGTGACAAAGAGGTTCTAGCTGGCTTGGCACCAGAAAACAGCATCGTCATCGGTATTTGATACGCAGCGCACTTGATATCCAACAATGACCCAAAACAGCAACATTTTTTAGTTTGACCTGACCTGGAAGGTCAATGACTGACCTGAGAAGGTAAAACTGGGTATCATTGGATTCGTCTTTTCCCAAAGAATCTTTTTGGTCTTTACTGCTAAGCTCTATCTCCAACAGGAACGAAATGGCGCGGGGGGGGGGTGGCAACCACCCCCCCCCCCATGTGCGTTCTAGGATGGGAAAATGGCATGTGCGGGCGAGGGTTAAAGTGTAAAGAAAGCATGCTATCAAAATCAAGGCAGTGCCCGATTTGATGTTATAAAGTAGGTGTAGGTACATACTCGTAGGTACCTACCAAAACAGTATTCTTGACAGATATCGATTTTACCATTCCATAATCCATGCCAAGACACGTGCAGCAAATAGTTCGCAATTTGAAATACAATTTTGAATGCGGACTCATTACCCCGAGCATCATTTTTACATTTGATTGGCGATCGAGGACTGAAATTCTAATGAATGAGTTACAAACAACGCCGAATGCGCCCTCTTCCTTACGGAGAATGAGCCATAGCGTTACGGGTGCCATTCAAGTCCAGGTTTTCCCTATCGCGAAGAAAGGAACTTTTATAAACTTTGTTCATTGTTAGAGAAATGTCTTGTGAAAAACTATTGAAAACAGTGCTCGTGTCTCATTGTGTGGATGACTAATCAGCTGTCTGTGGTTGTTTTGTGCGTTACGTACAGTGGCTAACACCCAATCCCACCAGCTTCCGGTGCTTGGTAGGTGATGATACAAGGAGATTTACTTGATACAGAGACGTTAACTTTATCAGCAAAATAATTAACCCCACATAAGGGCAAAAAACATTCAAAACACGAGGAGAGCATTGAGCTTAGAGGTCTGTGCTCGATTAAAGATCAGTCAAAAAAGCAGACAATCACGTAAATGCATAATCACGCAAATGAAAATGCGCAAATCATGTAGAAACATGTTGAGTATATTGATGAATCTCTAGACTTTGCTCACCACAAAATGATAGCTCGTAACAATGACTATAGAATAACGTCCGTAACGCACGTGTCCGACGTTCATTGGCAACCAAAATAAAACATCAGATCGGACAGGACTTCTCAGAAGGCCCGCCTCTATATCGTGCACCTTTCCAGCTGTGTTATGTTTACGGTGCCCGTCGATGAGAGGATCACGCACCGTTTACTATGAAAAGCTCATATATTCACTCATCTATGCCATTAGTCAGCCTTTGATCGTTATATTGAGAATATTAGCTAAGAACTTATGCAGTAGGGGAGAGTGGGGAAAGATGCCCAGGGTTTTACTATGCCATATATTGTTCGAAAATGACGATCGGAAAGCAAAAACTTGGAGTTTCAACGGAAGCCGACATCATTTTTCTCCAAAAAATATCACACTTTCGTGCTTGAAATATGATAACTTTTTTGCTATTAAGCATTTTCCTGAAGAAGTGAAAGGGGGCATCTTACCCCACAGGGTGGGAAAGACGCCCCCTGGCGTTGGGGAAGATGCCCCCCTGCACTGTATGTGACATAAATGGGCACGTGAATCGCCTGAACGAATCAGTAGTCCCTTCGAGCCTGCAGTAGACACCAAACGTCATCGTGAGGGCCCTCAAAAGTAGTCGTAAGGGGCTTCAGAGGTCATCGTTAGGGCCATCATAGTCCAGCGCGGCCAAACAAGCCTCCGTGGTGGCGTTCGGAGACCACTGTGGGGCCCTTATAGGTCTTCGTGATGCTTGAGGGCCCTCGAGCCCATCGTGGGGACCTCAGATGCCAGCGCGGCCCGTGGAGCCAACGTGGGAGCCCTCAAAGGAAGTTGTGAGGGGCCCTGGAGCCAATAATGGGGCCCACAGAGGCTGTCGTGAGGGCTCTCAGAGTCAGATGCCGCCCAAAAAGTCGCTGTGTGGGCCGAGAGACCGGCATGGGGAGCACCCGACCGTACTGGACTCTCAATAGTCCCAGATCGGCTTTTGTCTCTCATCACAAGTATGTATGTAATAAATGATTTGACGGGCTGCTTGAAGGACAGCCTACGGATTTAGGGGGGCGTCTTTCCCCATCAGGTCAGGGGGCATCTTACCCCAAGGTACCGAAGTAACATTAAATCAGTACAATTTGTTAGCCATAAAACTACACCCTGAAACAAACTGTTTGGGACACAGTATACGCATGTTAATGTGTCACGACTATAGCAAGGGACGCAAAAATTATCCACCTTCTTTGATATTTACAATGTTTTGACACCAAAATATTTTTTGAAAGCAGCAAATAAAAAGCATGCAATCACCAGCCCGCCGTTGCCCAATTGAGCTTCGCAAATTTTTGTGCAGTTAACAAGGCAGGCTTCCGCTTTACGCTGAGAACATTAATTTCCAGGTTCGATTCTTTGTTTCGCCGCTAGAGGGGGTGGGGCGTCTTTCCCACCCTGGGCATCTTACCCCACTCTCCCCTACATTAGTACAGCATAGCGATTATGCTTTGGCGCGCTGATCATGTGTTATTTTACAACTGTCCCCTGTTATTCATTCAAAAAATGGCATGATTGGCCTTTTTGTTCGTGTCGTTTTTCATACCAATCAATCCCACCAACTGCAAAATTTAACCCTCGCCGGCCGAAGGTGGGGGGGGGGGGCGGGTGCCACTGCAGCCCCCCCCCCCCCATAGGTTTTTTCGCGATAGCTCCGAACACGCTGGCGATAGAGAGCTGAAACTTGACATAACTGACCTTTGATTCAAGCCGGATCTTTTGACACCAACCGCATTTTTGGGTTAGGTCAGGTCACTGAACTATGACGTCATAAGTGAACCTCTGCACGGTCTTCAGATGTCGCAACTTCGCAACGCCTTCACTGCCAGAGGAGCTTTCACAGGGAAATGAAACTTACAGGATCTAATATCCATTACGAGTCTCACAACTTGTATATCTCGGATTTTTCCTAAAGGTCATAGGAGGTCAGGTCATTTTCGTGACCTCACCATTTTAAGTCAATGGGGAAAATGAAAACTGCTATTCTGGCGCCGGGAACGATCTCCAACTATCTCAAGCACACAGAATCATGATTTGATGCACTCTTTGCAAGGTTAGATGCGTCACTTCTGCAATGTTGACCTTGCGTGACGTCATTTATGACGTCGTCAAGGTCATATTAGTTTTTCGTCAATAACTCCCGATCAAATTGAGTTAGCGATTCGGGAAAGCAACCAATGGACTCAGAAAGACCTGCCGAATTCAATGATATGCGACATGACCTCTTTCGACCAGCTTCGTGACCTGGGGGCGCTGACCTGACCTTGACCTGAGGTCAAAACCCTAAGTTGACCTGACCCAAACAAAAAGTATATCATTCGACGTGCCTGAGCGAGGCGAACACGATGCTGTCAAAATCAGCGCTCTGCGGCCGTTTTTTGCGAAGTTATTCACCAAAAACTGAACCGTGCCTTGGGACACTTGACCTGACCTCAGAGGTCACCGGTTGACCTAGGACCTTAAAATCGGGTACCAATCTCTGCGTCTCGTAACGGCGCACACGCTCGCATTTTCCGCGACGCGCTAGCTCTCCACTAGGGGGAAACGGCGACTGGCGAGGGGGTCGTACCCCCCCCCCCCCCCTCGGCCGGCGCGTATGTAGAAAACCAATAGGTCCGGCGAGGGTTAAACAAAATCAAACAATCATTGACGAAGAAGTCTTTCAAACATTTTAGCGCCTTTGATTGCGATGCCAGGAGATGTGCTTTTAAGTACATATATACGAAAGAGGTTCCAGAACAAAACTTCCGCAGTACAGTGGTCTATTGTTCTCTTCATGGTAGGTATATTGCTATTGAAACACG